AAACTTTTCTCCATTTTTCATGATGTTATTTATTGGTCCAGCTTTCAGGATTTTGCTCTTTACACTGATTTACAATCTATATGGAAGTCAACTATCCTTGATCCACAAGAGCAGCTGCTTCAATTATTCCCCCTTTTCATCAAGCAAGGCTGTATTATCTGCATATTGCAAGTTAATAATCCTTCCTCCAATCCTGATGACCCATTCTTCTTCATATAATCCAGATTTTCTACTGATTGCTCAGTTTACAGATTAAGCAAGTGTGAATGGAGGATACTACTGTGCTGCATACCTTTCCTGATTTTAAACCAGGCATACAGACTGATTACATAATACACGATATATATTTGTGGCACTCCTGACAGCCATGGCAGCCTAGAAGGAAAGTATAGATTTACAGGAGACAGGGTATGGGGTTTTGATAGAGGAGAGCATTAGGATAGAGAGTAATATAGGTTATTAAGTGCCATCAAGTCAATTCCGTTCAACAGTGAAAACACTGCCTGGTCTTGTGTTACCATGTCAATCTATTTTGTCGAAGGATCTTCATTTTTTTTGTACCAACTATAATGTCCTTTTCAGGGACTGCTCTCTCCTGATAACATGTCCAAAAAATGTGAAAAATTAATTATTTAATTTTCTCTTGAAGTCTAAATGTTAAGCCTTGTATTTTTGTGCATAGGGGACAAGATCTGTACTAGAGAATCTTTGGGAATATTTTTCACCCAATAAACCTCAAGTTTCTGTGGATACCTATGATTGTTCATTCCCTTATTCATTCATTCATTCACTCATTCATTACTTCAACTGAATATATAGAGCTATAAAATGGTAATGATTACATATGGTTATGATAGACATGGTTTTTTAAAATTATAATTATGTGATGTTTTTTATTTATATTTGTTATATATACAATACTAAGGTTACTCTGTGCATTTTTACAATTATTAATAGAGGTGCTATGAAGATTGTATGCAGCTTTTTATGAGGACATATATTTTCATCTCCTTTAGACTCCTACCTAGAATCAGAATTTCTGGAACCAAGTGTAAACTTATGTTTAGCTTTGGAAGAACTTGACAGAATGTCTTCTGAAGTGTCTTCCAAAATTCCATTTTGAATTCTGACCAATAACAAACAAGATTTCCTGTTATGCTATATCCTTGCCAGCATTTGATACTATCTACAATTTTATTAATGTGTATGTAATGTCATATCACTATTCTTTGATTTGCAATTTCCCAATTGCCATTTGATATGATGTTAGGCATTCTTCAAATCGTATTTGCCAGTATGTCTTTTTTGTTGATGTAATTGTTCAGGTCTTTTTTCCATTTTTTAATTGAACAATTTTTTCTTAGTGTTGTTTTAAGTGTTTTGCTTTGTTTTTTTATATACTTTGAATTCAAGTGCTTTATAATATGAGTATTGCAAATATCTTCTTTCAGTCTGTGGCTGGTCTTTTAATTTTATTAACATTTTCTTTTGAAAAGAAAAGTAGATATTTTAAAACATTTAACTAAGTCCAACTTATCCAACTAAATTATTCTGAATTGTGTTTTTTAGGCTGCAATTAAAAAGCCATCATCAAATCCAGCTAGATTTTCTCCCATATTAT